AGAATTATGAAAAAAATCACTATCTTTTCATTTAGTTTAAAGATGTCATCTGAATTTTTTAAGTCCCAAGTTTAAATAATTGCAAAAGAAATATTGTAATGCATATAAGAAATATTGATACTAATATATTCATTTGATCCTAAATATTATCATGAAGGAGAAACATTTTCAGAATGGCAGTGAAAACTTAAGAATTCTCTCTCTCTCTCTCTCTCTCTCTCTCTCTCTCTCTCTCTCTCACACACACACACACACACACACACAACAGTGGCAGAAATGATTAAAATCAACATTTTCAAAGCTCTCTTAGAGATTGACCATAGCCCTGCAGTAATCTAATGTGTTTACTTAAGGAGAAAGCAAGAAACAACTGAATCTCAGAACAGCAATCTGTGTAATGATTTAACTTGCACTATTACTATTTCCCTTTCTCCAGTTCTGTAATAACTAACTGTGAAAACCAACAGCCTCACAAATCGCAGTGGCTGTGAAAAGCAGAAGCCTAGGTATAAGCCTAGTGGAGTAGGCAGTTTGGGGCTTTCTGAAAGCTCTGTTCCTAAGGAACTGCCATTATTTGTCTGTCTGATAGGTCACTTGTGCACTTGCCTTTCTTTGACCAAATTCTGCACCCAGTGTGCTGACCTCCTCCCCAAGGCAAGTGGCACTTGTTGAATATCACTGTTGCCTGAGGTGATGATGAGTTATGGCAAAAAACAACAATAGTAATAACAAAAACCAAAGCAAACTAAACCAGACCACCATGAAAGGAAAAGCTGGGCAGTGAAACATCCAAACCGGGCTTTGGTAAGCTCTGACATAGTCTGAGCCGCCAAAAGACGTTGTATGCCTCCCCAAGGGGACTTTAAGACTCTAAGTCAGCCACAGGTAGCTGACTACAAGCAAGTTGAGGATAAGGCGGTAATAGACTACATTTGAAAGTATGCTTCCATAAGCACCCAGAGCCACTCGGCAGAGGCTATCTTCTTTGCCCTATGTGGCTTCGGAGTTTCTGCTCAGTGAGCTCAGTAGCCACCTAATTGCACAGAGATTTCTTTAAATGCCAGGAATTAATTCAGGAAAAACCACTAAACAAATCAGTGGCAAATGCCTAAGTGGAGGGGAGAAATCTGATTTACAGAATTGCCACACAATATTTAAAATCTCTAGTTTTGAACAAGAACAAAAAAATGAGACTTGCAAAAAACAGAAAATATGACCCATCCACAGTAAAAGATAGGAGCCAATAAAGGCTGTCCTTGCAGAAGACCAGATGTTGGTCTCAAAGAGATTGTAAAAATAGATTAAAACATTCCATTATGTCTTCTTTACAAGAGGTCCCTTTCAGATACAGAGACAAAAATGGCGAAAGTGAAGGAATGGAGAAAGGTGTACCGTGAATCCCTAACTGAACAGTGTAGGAACTGTACTCAAACCTGAAAGAGTGCTAGAATCACTGTACTTGTAACAACACAATTTTAAGAAAAAAATATTAATTACAAGGTAGGACATTTTATAATAATAAAGTCCATCAAGAAGGTATAATACTTCTCATCAGTATATGCGCTGTAGGATATTGCAGTCACATGAGAAGTACAACCTTGGCTTGTGCCCGGTACCTGACAGAGGAAACTGCAGTTTACCTTGGTGGTTTCACCTTTGTAGAGAGGAGCACTGTAGGAGAGTCTTTTGCTCTTTGAACCTATTTTCTGACACATGACTCCTAAATCTCTTCAGATTTCCTGGGTGATAGAAACATCTTTTATTCTGAGGAGCAATTCTTTGTTGACAACCAGATAGCTTCAGAATGGAGGCTGGTTGCCAAGAGAATCAACCTGTGAGTAGAGGGTAGAATTTCAGTCTCCCCTCCACACACACTTCCCAATTCTGGGAAGAAAAGAGTGTCTGAAGGCTGAGTTACTGCCAGTGGCCAGTGATTTATCAGTCATGCATATATAATGAAAATGTCATAAAACCTCACAAGGACAGGATTGCAAGATTCCAGGATGCTGAACCCAGCTACCTGTCAGGAGGGTAGGTACCTCGACACACAGGAACAGAATCCACTGTTTTGGGGCCTCTTTCTGACCTTATCCTCGAATTTCCTTGCCTCATTGTTCCTGTGTTTTCTTTGTAGTATTCTTTATAAGAGGAAGGATTTCCTTGAGTTCTGTGAGTCATCCTGCAGATTAATCAGACCTCAGGAGGGAGTCATGGGAACCCCTGTTTATACTTGTTCATCCAGAAGTGCAGGTGATAACTTGTTACCTGGCAGTAGGCATTTGAAGGGGGATGGGGACACAGCTTTGTGAGACTCAGATATTAACCTGTTACCTATTTTCTTTGCTCTTTCCTAGGAAGCAGTTTCTCTTTTTCTTGAAGCTTTGCCTTGAGATTATATTCAGTTACATCTTTAGGATCCACTTCTTGTTTTCTTGCAAGTTCTACTTTTGTAGGTACCTTCTCCTCTGAAGTTTGATCCCCTCAAAGTCCTTCATAATGGTTGCAGTCATCTTTTTCCAAGCTCTTCTTAATGTTGACATTTTAACTCCTCCCATGAATCTCAAATGTTCCTAGTTGCATGTAGTGCGGTCAGTAGTTTTAAGAGATTTTTCTGTTTTTCTAGATCCATCAGGCGCATCAATATTTTCTTTTTTTGTTTTTGACCTTGTGCTTATGTATTGAGTCTATTTTACATAAAAGTTTGTTCTTCCAAGACACTTGGAAGTCTCTTTTGCTCATTCAATTATTATTGGTGGAAAAATTATATTAATTGAAAGTTTTTATTGTTTAAGACTAAAAAGATTTTCTGCTTGAATGGTTTTTGTTGAATAATTATTATGCACAAATAATTAATCAAAAGCCAGATAGTTGTTGTAAGCATTTAAATTTCTCAGATTTATATATCAAAAATATTTTAGGTTCCTTTTAATTTTGTTAAAAGCAAAGAATTGGAAAAGAATTTGTTACCAAGTCATTATTCATTCATTTTCTCAAATCCTGGGAACATGTTCAGAAAGGTCTTGCCAAGTCATATCAAGATGACTGGATTATACTTATTACTTTGTACCTTGAGGCCCCTTGTTTTGGCTGATACGCTTGAAAAGAATTGAGAAAATTGAATTTTTGTGTTTTTCAACATGCCTATGCAAAACAATTTTTTTTCATTAAAGTCGTATTTGTTGCTTTAAATAAATATTGGTCAGAACATTAGAAATGTAGATTTAATAAAAATTGACAAAAGCAATTCACAGTATCAAACCATTCATCCAGTCTTTGATATAAAATCTGTACCTTCCTTGTAGATGGAAGAAGCGTGAGTTTTTAACAAAAATAATACTTAGATTTTTTAACAAAAATAGTACTTAGCACTTTTTACGATAAATGTTTAGATAGCCTGGGTGGGATGAGTTGCTTTGTTAAGTAGGAGAAAGGCAGCTGTGAAAGAGAAGGTGTGAAGGGAACAGTTACCCCTAAGACACACCAGGGTGTGCTTTCAGGGGTGTCCTGTTTTGAAGTTGAGACTCCATGTACTACTCCCTTAAGACTATGAGCAGCTGCAACAAACACTTTTAAAAGTGTTTGTGTCCAGGAGGCTGCTGCTCTTAGTTATGTAGGCGTGAATAAAATAGCCTTGGAAAGCATTATATATTTGTAAGGATACTGTGTACAGATATATTAATGTTAATATACTTTTTTGCACTTGGGCCATATTTTGCCATTTTTGCCTGTGCAGTGCTGTCTGTGTTCTACACTTGTGTCCTGCATGTGATACATCTCTCTTGGTGTCCAGATTGGATCTCAGAGTCCTTCACACTCACTGCTTCTTCTGGTTGATTGGGCCTAGCATAGGAGATGACCCTCTGGAGCAGCAATTTTATTAGTTTCTTAGTCACCACATTTATGTCTTTTTTTTCTTTTTATAGTTTAATTTTTTAAATTATATTTTGTGCATTAATGCAATGTTCTTAGGTTAAACTTTATTATCCTTAAATCAGCTTGCAATACTCCCACAAGATAATTAATTCCCTGTGGGCCTCTTGACTTTTGTATGTGTTACAAGCAGAGGCTTTGGTTACCTTGATTCTTTATCATTTGAAGGTTTATTTCTATAGGGAGCAGTTTTGAAAAACACAGTGACTTTAGAGCAGTGGTCAAGTTTCCTCTTTGCCCTGGAAGACGGAGAGCCTTTCTTTAGTTTGGAGTGAGGTAGTAGATTTGCTCCCTGCCCACCATCAAAGCTTGTGGTTCCAGAAACCCAGGGTGTCTTTCCTGTAATGCAGGAGACATTTGTCCATATTCCAGTAGCTGTGAGAATTGGGACTCAGGGAATTGGATCAAGACAATGCTGATGTTCTGGCTGTTTCTATGATTAGAAGTATTCTTGTCTCTCCCCAGGAGACTTGTGTTCTCTGAGAGCATCCACAGCAGACTAACTTGTTAACTTGAAAGGAAAGTAAATCTCAGGAAAGTAAATCTTCACAGTCGTTGACAATACATAGGAAACACAAATAACCCTCAGAGTTCAGCTCAGAGATGATTTCTTTTTTCTTTCTTTTTTTTTGCTTTTTTGAGGCAAGGTCTCACTATGCAGATCAGGCTGGCCTCGAACTCCCAGTGATCCTCCTGCCTCAGCCTTCCAATTATAGGGTGGGATTATAGGTGTGTACCACCATGCCCAGTCCAGAAATGCCATTTTATCCATGCTTTAAATTGAAACTGCATTATGTATTATTTATATAAATGTAACATAGATTGTTTTTGGATTTTTTTCTAAGTTAAAATAAAGACTTGGCATAATTTTGCTATTTATATGTAATGACAGTTTTAAAGGCATAATAAGCCATATGTTTTCTTGTACATTAAAATATGTGTACACATACCCACACTTACATTCATGTTTTCAACAACCAAATCAATTATTGCTCTGCTTAATCACATATTTAAGAATTAGCTTTAATTTCATAAAGGTCATTATGACGTATTATTTGCCTCTGTTCTAGAACATTGGAAAGAAGATGACCTGCCAGGAGTTCATTGCAAATCTCCAAGGGGTAAATGAAGGTGTCGATTTCTCGAAGGATCTGCTAAAAGTAAGCACTGGGTTATTTGTCTGTAAATATGCTGATATTTATATTTACTACTTATCTTAATCTGAAATAAGCTAAGGATCGCTTAAGTATTTTGCTTTTTGTTTTTGGTTTTATTGGATGTTTTCACTGGGCTTTGTTCCTTTGATGCTTCAGACTGCAGTTGTTCCTTTCAATTAATAATTCCTGAAGATCCACATTGTAATAAAAATACTATGATAAGAAGTGCCTTCGGAATAGCTGATGATAGGAGTGGTCAGTGAAAACATTTTCTATGTAAGCAGACAGTTACAACTTGACAAAGGTCACAGAGGCAAATTCACTGTGAAACAGAGCAACACTGGAGACGGTAACGGGAGGAATTCTGATGGTGTAAGTCTCCCATCGAGGAACCACTCAGATTGTTTCTGGAAATAGATTAAATTAAATTCGCAATAATTGTAGAATGCCTGAATTTATTTATAATTGGCTTTATTATTGGTAACAATCAGTGTGGTTTTCATCAGATGATTTTCAAGAGACAAAAATTAACTTTGACATTCATACATTCTGCAGCACTGTAAATGAGATGTGCATTTGATCCAACACAAAATAATGATTGGTAATGAATATGAATATTTTACAATTTGTAGGGTGGGAAAGATGTGTGTGTTAAGCATTTGATTTTGTTACTTGATTCTAGCCTTCTCTTTAAAACTTCATACCTGTACAGGTTTCTTTTGTGATCAGTCCCTATTTTCGAATGAACTTGCTAAGAAAGATGACCCATCTGGATCATGCTATAATATGAAAATGCACTGTTGAAGGATAAGCAGTGTGGAACTTTTTTTTGGACTGGTGGGAATTAAACAGGGGCCTCTTATGAGGTAGACAACCGCTCTCCTGCTGTACTCTTCTCCGACAAAAATCTAACGTTTTTTTTGTATTGGGAATCGAATTGAGGACCTTGCGCTTGCCAGGCAGGATACTGGTGCCACTGAGCTATATTCCCAGCAAGAACCATCTAACTTTTAAACTATAGAGTTCTACTAGATGTGAAAATGAAGGAAGTATTCAATACAGTGTTACCACATTCTATATCTTATTGATCTTAATTTCAGCTAATTAAAAAAAAACATTACGAAGGAAATCAGGAAGCAAAGATCCCATTTGCTATGTAAAGAAGGTATTTTTAGGCTGTTTGCTTATACAGTAAATGCTGCCCTTTCTGATTCAAATGGAAATGGGAAATCAAAGTGCAGGATTGTAACATGATTAATAAGTTAGGCTGTGTGATGTTAACAAGTCTTTTGTCAGTCTAGTGGTATGAGGAAGGAGTCTCTCCGAGGATTTGTGAGGCTTTTATCAATTTATGTTGGAAATGAAAATTCACAGGAAAATTCACAGGAAAATTTTCATAGTGAAGCTGTTAGTGTTAGTCATGGGCTTATGGTAACTTGTAAACTGTCGGTAAATTATTGGTTAGATTTAGAGCGTGTTTGATAGAGCTGTCTGAAACCAGATGTAGTTAATGTACAGTCCAGTGTGCTGCTGTTCACCTTGGTTAAATACTTTCATTTACCCTGCCAGGAGTTTGCCTGTGATTTGTTGGAGCTGCGCAATTGAGATTATGTTTATACACCTCAGGGGGGAAATATGTGTTATGTTTTTCTTTACTATGGGAAGATGACAATCCAATGATTCTGAAAATAATAGTGGCATTTAGCATGGAAATTGTCTAGTGAAATATTGATTCCCCTTCTGAGTAAACCTCAGCTACTTGTCCAGGATGGGAGTAAGAATGGCTTTTGTTGTGAATTCAATAAGAAAAGATTTTGTAAAAGTCATTTTGTCTTATTCCATTGTTTTGTGAGCTATTCCTGTCTCTTTCTTTTTCCTTTCTTCTGTCATCTTTCTTTTCCTTTCATTTTTATTCTCTGTTTATTTTTTTTTGTTGTTGTTCTTTTCTTTTCCTTCTTCCCTGTCTCTATTTAGTAGCTGTCTGTGACTGAGGTAAATTTTTGGATGAAATATTTATTTGAATTTTGGAGTAAATATGATTATACACATATTATACAGATGCATACACATAGGTAAACAAGAAATTAGGTATTTCATAGGCTTTTCCGTAATCTTTTTCTCTCTGTGCATTCTTTCTAACCTAAACAATTACAAACATGCATATCAGATTTTGAATGAGGAAATAGAAATAATTATTATTTAATTTTATCGTTTCATAAAAATGTAAAGCAACTATAAGATTCAGTGTAAAAATCATTAAACTTTCTTTGGTTGAACTGATGCTTTTATTATTATATAATGGTCATATTGCCTTTAGGTTTCTTTGAATCAAAAGTTATATGTAGATTTATGTCTCTTCAGATTTCTTTGGACTGGAAGTCATACTTTGGACCTACTACTCAGTCTGTCTGGTTGTGTAGTTGTGGACATTTATTCCAAGTCTCTGTGTGGTCACTAGGTGATACGCATCTTGGAGAATACATCTGTTCTTGAGGTCACAAACTGGTGAGAGAGATCTTTTCACCTTAGAATGGACAGTTATGCCACATTAAAATAAAAGCATAAACCACATTCGATTTTCTCCAAGCAGAAATGATTAAGAAAAAATGAGCTATAATGTATTTAGGTTTATGAGTACTTAGGAATTTTTCTTGGGACTTTGATTCAGAGAATTCAGTTTAAAGTTTGCTTCTATTTTGCTTTAGAATACACTGAAAGAGACAAACAGTGTGTGTTTTGGCAGTTTACAGTAATAATGCAGCCTCTGTTATTTGCCCAAATAACCTAAACTGAGTTGAGTGTCTTGGTGATTAAGAACTTTTTTCCATAACTTGCTTCGAGTATAATTTAAGAAACCTAGCATTCAGAGTCGGATACAAAAGACAACTGGTGATAGGCTGTCAGTTAGATTCTGCAGAGCAGAAGGATGGAAGTGTCATTTGAGATGGGTCTTTGATTTGAAAGAGGACACTTGCTTTCATTTAGGTTATTAATCTGTTTCATCTCCAACCCCTTCTCCACTCATAATCATCTTCATTCCTGTCTCTCCTTATGAGATGACCAAATCAAGACTATAATTCATTCAATAAAATGTGACAAACCATATATCATATTTCAAGGCTTTACAAGTCCCACCCATCTTACCACCTGGATGTGTTTCACCTTCATGCGTCGTTTTGGACAAGGAGGAAAAGGGAAAAGCGCTATTCTGCTTTGGACTCAGATTTAATAAAATATTCCTGAGACTTTAATAAGTATTAAAGCTGTTAATAACATGACTAGAGAGGATGAAAAGCTAAAAATAGTCTCTGGGTTGAAGGTGATATTCTTGGGCAACACTGTACTGTGATGATTGAGATTATAGACCGCAGAGCTATCCTGACCAGGGTCTAATACCAGCTCCTCTCTCTTAATAGATGAGGGGCTGTGGGTAAGTTCATTTAAATGATGTCAATTTCTTTACCTGTAAAATGGGAGATTTTACTCTGTACCCAATTCATCTAGTTTTTTTTTTCTCTGTTTCTTATTTCATACTGAGGATTGAAGCCAGGGCCTCACTGAAGTACATCCCAACCCTACTTGAAGTTTTGAAGCATGTTCTCAGTAATTGCTCAAAGTGGCCTGGAACTTGTAGTTCTCCTGCCTAGCCTCCTGCAGAGCTGGGACTAGAGGCATGGGCCTCCACACCTGGTTTACCTAGTTTTTTTAGTCAATGAACAATGTAATGTGTTTCCATGCTTTAAAATCTTGTGTTTGCTGTTCTTTTTGGTTGTAGTATTGTTTTAGTCATCACTTAGCTCAAAGTTTGCTGGAGTGATATCTCATTCCTTCTTGTAGGTATTTGAACTGAAAGTATTTTAATATGTCTCCAAGTGAGATTAGTGCTATGAGATAAGTACTACATTATACTATACTCTTTTAGTCTGCTGCTTTCTAAGAATACATGCTATACTCTTCAGAAAGAATGATGACATTGACCTAAAGTGAATCTTTGTTAACCCATTGCCCCTACCTTCTTATCGACTGTCTTATTCTCCTCCTGGGTGCATCCCTCTTTCATGTGTATTCCTATCCATGTACAGATACATACATCCATATACAGATACCTGTATATGTATATATAATGTGTATTTAGATCTTTAGTGATTCTCCTCGTGTTCCAAGAGCAGAGCACTGAGGAAAGTTAGGTTTGGAAGAACCTTTGATGAGTCAAACCAGTTCTTACCTTTTGATATCTCAGTATAATCCTGGGATACTAATAGAGATGTGAATGTGAATTATTTGATGTGATTACAAATCCTTGGCGGACAAAAAGGTTGTTAAGTATCTGCTTTCTTGTGTTTTCCCAATGGAGAAGGCTAGTTATAAAGTCCTAGGGTTAGAAATTGCTGGCGTTACCCCAGGGACTCTTGACTCTTAGCTTGGGGACTTATTTCACTTAGTCACATGAGGAGCCTATGCCAAGGAGCTAATGAAGTACTGGTTGTCATCATGTGCCTGTTTCTGAAGCATTTTATCCTATAGAAAATCCTTTTAAATTCATGATTGCCCAGATTTGGAATGAATCCTCAGCAGATGAATGGATAAAGTGTTGTGTTTGTACATGATGGAATATTACTCAGTCTTTAAGCTCCCATTGTTTGTGACAACCTGGGTGAACCTGGAGAACATTACACTGAGTGGTGTAAATCAGGCAAAGACCAATTTTTACATGTGGAATCTAAACAGTTTGAACTCATAGAATCAAAGAGTGGAACAGAGATTACCAGTAACCAGGATAGGATGGGGATGGCGTGTTCGCCAAAGAGTACAAAGGTCAGTTAGTATGAATAAATTTTATTGTACAGTCTGGTGACTATAGTTAATATGATACTGTATTCTTGATAATTGCTGAGCGTACTGTTTAGAGCTACTCACCAAAAAATGTAATTATAGGAAGTGAGAAATATGATAAATCATGATAAATATGATAAATTGATTTATTCATTCCATAATATATGCAGTCAAAATGTCACATTGGATAGCATAAATATATGCAGTTTTATCAATTATGTTAAATTAAAATTTTCTTAAATATTCCTTTCATAATTTGATTCTTTGCATTCCTGTCCCCTAAATTTTATTTCTTTTGAGTTTCTTCTGGAACTCCTAATCTTAATAGGAAAGCTGCATCTGTATTTTTTTTTTTTTTTGTTCAACTTATTTTCCATTTCTAAGTCTGGTAGTTGTTGTCTGTATTTTTCATGATATCCAGAGGAAGAAACGGAATTTGGGTGATTGCCTCCAATTATTAAATATTTAGTGTGAAATGGCCACTTTGAAATACACTTCCATGAAAGAAAGGAAATTACAATGGAAATTAAGAGGAAAGGAGATATTGAAGAACGGCATAGGAACATATCGGAGAGAAGGTCATATATTGGCTACGTGGTATTTTCATTTTGAAGAGACGTTTGAATGGAAGATATTAACAGTGACGGATGAATCCATAATTATTTTCTATCCTGATTTTCTTATTACCACCTACTATTTGATGTTCAAGCAATGTTCTCTGAGGTATTTATTCTAGTCATGATTAAATCTTTAATTTCCTTCTCTTCTTCTTTCCTTATTCTTTCTTTCAGCAAATGCATTTAGTAGGTACTAACAGGAGGAGAGAACAGAAACAACAGTAACAGAAAGCATAAAACTTTTCAGAATGTTTCTAATGTAAACACTTGAGAAACAAAGTGGGACACAATTTTCAGTGTCTCAAAACATGTCTTCAGGGCTGGGGGTTTAGCTCAGTGGCATAAGTGCCTGCCTTGAAAGCAGGCAGTCGTGAGTTCGATCCCCGGTACCGATAAAAAGGAAAAAGACAAAAAAAAAAAAAAAAAAAAAAACCCAAAACAAAACATGTCTTCTCCTAAATACCCCTAAGTAATGCAAATAGTTATGTGAATAGATGAATTATAAAGCTATCCTACTGGAAATTATGAAACATCTATGTGACACGTCTTTAAGAAATTTACTTAGGTATTTTGGTAGAAATTGCTAGTCTTTTTTGTTTACTTGGGGATTTATTAACTTTAAAATTAGCTCGCAGTGTCTTAGGGAAGACCGAAGTTATTTTACTTTCTGATCTGTAATTAACAGTGAAGTACATGTGTATGTGTATACGTCTGTGTGTATGTATGAATTGGGAGTAGCTGTTAAATAGAAAGGACATGAATCACAAATTGGCATGCTTGACCTGAAAGGGATTGAAATGCTTCATTCAATTAGTAGGTATTATAAATTTCCTGTGAATGAAATTATTATATAACCTATTTGTTAGAATCCCACTGAAAGTTCTTTTTCAGATGCATTTATTTTCCCCTGCTTGCTAAAAGGGCAGAATTTAGGTAAGATTCTTTAAAAGGAAGTTTCTAAAAATATGCTGGATACCTGGCCTTCATTCCTCAACATGTCTGGTTGAGTGAAACCATTCTATATGTTGTTTTAAATGAAATTTTCATATTTAATATTCTTAAGAAAACTTCCTCATAAAAATGAGCAGAAATTAGCCAGAGAGTTATTTGAATAGAAAAAGGTCAACAAAGAAAAAATACATTTAAAAAAAAACAAAACAAAACAAAGATTAATTCATCTTTTTGGACAAAGAAGGTGCATAATTCGGAAATATAAAATTATGCTCTGCAGGTTCATTAACCATTAGGTTTTTTTAAGTCAGCTGTGGCTATGTGTGTAAGGGGAAACAACCACAAAATTAGGCTTTAAAGACTTACAGATAAGCAAACTTTTATAACACTGAACTCCAAAAAGGAGCTGTTTATGCTTGCACGAGAGCTGCAATGATCTTGTAAAAGAGGGAGAGCGGCCAGCCCAGCTCACTCTGATTTGACCCTTTCAGCAGGGAGAAGAGGGCAGAGCAGCTCTGACAAGTGCCCTACTTTTCTGTATTTTCTACTGAAAGGTTGACCTGAAGCAACATGAGGTCTTCTTTTCTTCTTGCTTTTCACCCTCCTCCACATTTGCTCTCTCCTTTCATCTTTGCCTCCATGATTATCATTGAGTACAGGTACAACTGGGCCGCTGAAAAAGGTTTTTCTTCTAGTTTGTGACAATATACCATTGTTTTTTAACTGGTAACACTGGAGGAGACTAATGAAAGCTGCAAGGAATCTATTTATTACCACTGAATATGATTTATAATTTGCAACTTGGGGTGAAAAAAATAATGAAAAGATCCACTTAAAAAAGAGAGTAAATGGGACAGCTTCTTTTCATTCAGCCAGAGGTTAGCTGTCATGTTTTAAGAGTTTAGTGACATATCACTAAGCTCCCTTTTAGCACTCTTGACCATTCTTTGAAAGGGCTGGATACATGATGAATTGCTCAGATATAACAGGTAGCAGTATTAAAACCAATGACACATTAAAGAAAAGGACAAGGAATTGTTTTAAAGAATTAAAAGTGGAAAATGGCATGAGACTATCATTGTTCAGGGTGTTGTGGAGAATTGTTTGAGTGGAGAACAGAAGGGCAGCAGCAGTTGTCCGTGCAAGAATGGTGACAGGTAGTGACATAGTGACAGTGTTTAGGGAAATGTATTGAATTATTTTAAGCTTGTTATTGGAGCTTCTGTTGCTACATCGTTTTTCCAGATGTTCCCTTTGTTTTCACCTCTTTTACCTGCCTAACCTACACAGGGTAGAACAGAAATAAAGGGTAGAAGAGCCTGAAGCCTGGCTTCCTAGTCAGTGCTCTTTGATCCGTTGGGAAACAGTGTGACATGAGAAATGTCACATCTGAAGTGCAAGTCCAGCAGTTTACCTGGGCCAGGGAGTAACGTGGGGTAACATAATAAGAGGAGGTGTGTTAAGGGCTAGGACTGTGCCTGTGTAGAGTGCACTGGGTTTATTTGTTTTGTTTTGTTTTCATCTTTCTTTGGTACCAGGGATCGAACTCACGACTGCCTGCTTGCAAGGCAGGCGCTTATGCCGCTGAGCTAAATCCCCAGCCCTGAGTGCACTAGGTTTTGCCACAGCATTGTGAAAGTCTGAGGGCTGCCTCACTGATGGAACCTCAGGGTGATCATTTCACTTCTTCATACCTTACTTTCCTTGATAGTAAAATAAGGTATCGTTCCATGCCTGGACTTTTCAAGTTTTTAGCTTAGGCTCATGAAATCCTCATTGTCCACAGTCCTCAGCCTCCCTTTCCCTTCTGGGCCAGAATTGCCTGCTCTGTTATCCTTTTGTGTGTAAACTTCCTTACGCAGTGTCTTAGGAGAAAAATGTCTGGTAAAAAAGAAGCTGGAGAAACTCTGTAGTTGATTTTTAAGCATTATTTCAATCTAAGTACTGGGGAATGTTCTTTGCATCATTTTTTTCTTTGTAATCTTGTTTTGGCTTTCCTATTGCACTTAGTGGTTAAGACAAAGACTTGTGTAGTTATTAATGAAATTATCACGTTTGCCTTGCTGAAGCTGTAGCATCATTCTCAAAAAGAGTATAACCAAAGGACAGTGTGAAAGAAGGGACTCCAGTCTGCAGCAAGCCTAAACTTTTTTTGTAAATGAAAAACTTGAAGTGATTTCTAGAAAATACTTGATCTGAGTTATATTTGGAGGATGTAGTTGAGAATAGGAACTGATGGGTGGGATTTAAGTGTAGCTATAAAAAGAGCATCAACTGTTGCTCAGAGTAGGTGAGCTCTAAGAGGAGGTCACAGAAACCTGGTAGCAACCGTATCCATGGAGGAAAGGGCTTGGATGCTTATCCCACTGTAAGGGTAGGGGAGCCTTTGAAAAGAAAAGCTATGTTAGCAAGCTTTTTAAAAGAAAAGCTTTAATGGTTCTGGCTCAAAATATGAAATCTTGCTGCTTTTTTTCGGTAAAGCAAATCAAGCTGAGGTCCGCGATAGAAGGCACATGGCGTTTTGCTTTTGTCTTCCCCATGGAGGTCTGGAAGCACACTATTGCTTTTAGGCATGTGATCATCATGCACAGAATAATGCTGCTGCCTTCAGTGTGGTTCAGACCTTGAATGAAAAATGGTGATGATAATGAGGGTAATATTTTGAAGTAGCTGAGGATCTACAAATCATGCTCATGCTTAAAAAAAAAGAAATCTCTCCCAAAGAAGTCTGTTAGAACGTTTTGACAGAACAGATGCTGCTCAAAGAGTACAAACAGATTTTTAACTGAAAAGAAAAAAAAGAAAAAAGTTAGAGTGGGGGTGGTAGTAATCGTTAAGGGTACTGTAACGGAATATTAATGACTCCCAAACAGACTCTATTTTTAATTTGATCATGAAGAAGTGCTGCAGGATTTTATATGCGGGTGCATCCATAGAATTTTGAATATTTGTAGGCTTGGAGCATTCTTTCAAACAACATAATATATTTCATTGGAATTGCTGCTGCTATCAGTCAAGCATGAACATGTATAATGGATATGAGTTTAATTGGTCACATTGTGAATTGCAACCATCCTCTTTTTGCTTATGTGCACCAGAAGGGGGATGGGTAAATTCCTCAGGAGTGATGCACTTCTTTTGGAAGACCTACAAACCAAGCTTAAAAGAATTGTCACAGCCAATAACCTGCCCTGTTTGTGGTGTCTTACCATTAAGTAACAGTGGGAGACATTTCCATTTAAAAGCGTTTGTAACTATCCAGTGAAAATATCTCACAAAGGAAAACAGTTTCTTCTTTAGTGGTAGTAATGCTTCACTATGTAAACATCAGTTGTCTTGAAGACTAAGAAAGATGAAAACAAGTAAAAAAGTAAAAATTATATAATACATAGATGTTACAGAGGGTATGCAAAGAATCCTACAGATTGTATTCAGACCTTCATTTAGAGCCTGCTTTTAATAACCACTACAATTTTTACGTCAAAAGTTTTGGCCTGATCTCTTCTCTGGTACACACAAGCTGATGGCTCTGTAGAGAGGAGTAAGTATACCAGTAGACCAAGATTGCTTGAAATTGAGATGGAGCTGGGCTCTGCCACTGCTTGGCTCTGAGCCAGTTCTTCTAGCAATACAATAGCCGCATAGAGTTAATGTTTTGAAATGCAAGCATTTAGGTTCTTACTTAAATGTGCAGTTGAAATTATTTTGATGAAAAAAAAATTTTTTTTTTCTCTATTTGACTGTGAATTCATTCAAAAGAAGAATTCAAAGGGAGCGCTGTTCCTCAGATACGCGTTAGTGGGTAGTAAGAAGTGATTTGAAAATGAGATGAAAAAAAAACAAAAATGAAACCTGAGAGTCCTTGGTCTCCAAATGGGAGGACTGGTTTGAGGGAGAGCAGCAAACCTGTGCAGTCAGGGACTTCCCAGAGAATGGCTGTTAGAGCCAGAGCAGCCACAAATGGATGTATGCAGTGAGTCATGGAAAATGTTGCATTATGTTTACTTAGCTGATTAAGGAGATAGGGAGTGTGAAAGAGATTTAGAAAGACTGCCAAGAAAACTGTTTTATAAAAGCTTTTGGCTTTTAAATAATTTGCTTCAATTGCAAGATACACTGATACAGAATTATTCACTTCTTTGCCCTCAAATGGTTCTTGAATTACATCCTCTGTCAGTGTTGGGGTTTTATTATTATGGTCAGCCTTCTGCACCTGCGATTTCAACCAACCATAGATTAAAAATATTTGGGAAAATGTTTGCATATATGCTAAACAAATACAGACTTTCTCGTTATTATGTCCTCTACAATATAGTATAGCACTGATTTGCAATAGCATTTGCATTGTTTTACGTATTATAAATCATCTAGAGACTCTTTGAAGTATGCAAGAGTGTATGCATAGTTTATAGGCAAGTACCATTGTTTCTAAGGGACTTGAGCATCTGCAGTTATTGGTATGCTGGGAAATACGTATCCTGGAATCAGTGCATTATGGATACCAAGCATAGACTAAAAAGTTTTTTTAAAAACATTTTTTGTTTTTACTGTTCCTTCAAATTCTCCATAGATAGCACCTTAGTTTCATTGTGTAGATGTTGGTTTCTCAGAAACACCCATAGTGGCCAGGTATGGTGGCCTAGTCCTTCAATCCCACAGGGTGGGAGGCTGAGGCAGGAGGATCCTGAGTTAAAGCTATATGAATGGGTTTGGAGACACAGCCCTGAGTAAGACAGGCTGGGTTACTTAGTGAATTAGTTAGACTCTTTCTCAAAATAAAACATAAGAAAAGGGGGTGGGGATGTAGCTCAGTATGAAGACCCTGGGTTCAATTTCCACTACTACCACAAAGCAGATAAACAAGCAAGAAAGAAAAGTCAAAAGCTATCTATCCCTTAGGAGGAGTGTTTGGGGGATGACACAAGTATCTAACTGTTACCTTTCCAGTACACCTGGGTTAAATGCAGTCACAGATCTAGTTCTCCCCTATCATATCCCAGATGGTCTAGTGAGAATTTTGTTACCTGTGCACTTTTCCCCAGAAGTGAACTCACTGTCCATTTAGATCCCACTGCTCTTCGATGAAGACTACAAAGGAAAGTAGTTCTGGAGCAAATCATTTAGCTATGAGGTTGCTTAATTCTGGAACAATTATTCCTTGAGAATACCAGATAGGCAAGATTTTTTTCCCCTCTTCCATTTAGAAACGAATCAAAGGTAAATCTAAATACCCAGAATGTTATTTGAAAGGGTTACTTACATTTCAGATTGTTAGTTATTATAGTATAGGTACAAAACGAAATTCATGAAGAGTTATAAATTTTGACACTATGTTAATTTTGATTACATAATTAATGGTTATTGCTTGTCACTTGTATGAAATTCCTCCCTGCCCTTATTCTTAAGGACAGAGACTACGTTGTGTTGCTCATAGTATCCTTTGCCTCTAATATAATTCCTAAGACAGAACAGATTTTTGACAAATACTTGTTGAGGAAATAATTGCAGTAATTATAGTAATAACTAATAATGACACAGCAGCAATGATTCTGACCATGGATTAGCTTTGGGAGCAGTGTGTGATCAATGTCACACTGAGTGTGTACATAATTTCACTTCTGTTTATCCTGAGAGAGAAGCCATACCTTTCATCAGGGCAAACTTTGTTCTCCCCAAAATTTATGAGTCATAGAGGACTCTGCAGCTTGTAGACTAATGCATTACTGTTTTGATTAAAACAAACAAGCCAATGCCAGCAGCAGCAAAACACTTAGAGGAATTTTTCCTTCTCCAAAGCACATGGCTCATTCATTGAGGCCCATCTGTGTGCTAAGGTCTGTGGCTACACAACCCTTAATAAGACAACAGTTCATACCTTCATATACCTCAGAGCTTGGGAGAGAAAGTGTAATGAGTGATTACGCAAATTATGAAATGCTTTGCTTACAATTTCATAATATATTAGTTTGAGTATTGTCTTAGTTACATTCTTATCTGTGAGACACAATGCCTGACACTCACAACTTACAGGAGGAGGAGAGGTTTATTTTGGCTCACAGTTTGTCCATACTTGGCTGGCTCTGAGGCTAGCCATGGCAGAGGAGAACTGCTCATGACATGGTAGCAGGACGCACAGAGAGAGAGCGAGGGAGGAAGAAGCGAGATAGCCCTTTCCAGGCTACGCTCCCAGTTACCCGCTTCCTCTGATCTGGCTTCACCTCCCAGCATCGCATGTAGCTGTAATCCCATCAGTGGACTGATCAGTCGATGAGTATCATACCCCGTGACCCCAAACTACCCCCAAACCTCCCCAAACCCTCACCTGTGAGTACATGAGGCTTTGGGGGGAATCTAGATATAAACCGTAACAGGTATGGGAGGCATACCATATTTGGCAAAAGTCAGATGAAATTTAGTAGGATTCATGAGTTTTCACTTTGGTAAAAGCTGTTCTAAATATATTGGGTGAAACAAAGATGAGTAAGGCATGAGTCCTTTCCTGATGGAATTTTAACTTATTATAGTACTTTTCAACACTGGCTATACATTAAAATCATTTAGGATAAGGAAAAAAATTAGAAGACTGAAATATTCATACTCAAGGGGAAAACTATTGAAAAAAAAAACAACTTTGGAGAAAGACCTGACACTTGCTTATCAAACTACCAGAATAGTTTGTGCTGTCATTGTTTGTTTGGCTGTTCATTTTTTATGCTTTGTTTTTGTAACTTGAACAACTACTTCTAAGACAACAATATGTAATATATCAACTAGAGATGATTAGTGTTATTTTTCTGAAATTTGTATTATTTCTACCCTTTTTTCTGTTTTGCTTTTTTATAAATAAAAAATGATAATATACTTAATGTATAATATTAAACTTTTTAATGTCTTTGTTAAAAAGAAAACAAAGACACTCAATGATCCAACAGTTTAAGAACAATTAAGTGATGTGTTATAGAGATAATCACAGCCGCCCCAAATTGGAAAAAACATAAACGTTTAACAGGTGGATACATAAATGAAGTGTATATGATATATCCACACAGTCCATTACCACTCAACAATGACAAAGAATGGACCATTCCTACACGCAGCACCAATGAAGCAAGCATGACACTAGAACTTTAAACAATGGTTTTGTTATATGACATTCTAGGGTAGACAAAACTAACAGATGGTGGTAGGGGAAACCTCAATGAAGTGATTTCCTCTAGAGATGCCATTATGGGAATTTCCTGGGAATGAACATGTAACTTGGAGGAAATATTAGGGAAAATGTCACTTGGGAAAAGATACAAACAAAAGCTTGATGTCTTCTTCTGCCTGACCCTACCTCTCCCCAATTTCGAATATTCGTGAATGGGGCTATGTGTGTTATTTTAAAGGCAATCCGATGATTATGGCACCTATGGGGGCATGACAGGGAGTAAAGAAAGATGAAAGAATACTCAGGGGATAAGGGGACTGGGAGAACCTTATCTCTAGTGGACAGGTGTCGATGTCCGCTCCCGGCCGGCAGGAAGGACACACGACAAAGTCTGGCAGTGGACAACCTTTTCTTTTTATTTTCCTTCTCCGTACAGCCTGCCCTGGGATCGCTCCCAGCCGAAGCCTCTTCTGGTCCGCTCCCCGCGGCTCCTTCCGGGCTTCGCTCCGAAGCCTCTACCGGTCCGCTCTCCGCAGCTCCTTCTGGGCTTCTACTTCCGGGCTTCTTCTTCTCCCCCAGGGGTGGCACCAGTATATATACGGATACAGTGTCCAATCATGTTAAAGTAAGCAAGGCAAGCTGATTGGCTAACATCATCAGTTGCCAGGCAGACTATATTGTTGAGCGGGTTGCTTACGCGGTAAACAGGAAACTAACGTGCTCGATGGGAGGGGTAATCTACCTCAGGCTTTGCTCTTTACCACAGGCCGCACGTCCGCCGCGCAAGGCGAGCTATCACAGACGCGGCTCCCAACATCTCCCCCTTTTTTATTTTTTATGAATGTGCGCATCGTAGCCCTTTCTGGACTGGGTGCAGAGGCTTATGCCCTATGCGTAGGCCCACCGTAGGTCCTTGGCTTAGACCCTGGTCGGCCGTCCCATGGTCTGCCAAGGCCCTGAGGCCCTCGTCCTTTTTCTAGGGCCAGGCACAAACTGGACGGAACCTGGATGCACACAAGCTTGCACTCATTTCCTCTCCGTAAAGAAATCCCCTCGGAGAGAAATTTAGACCTGGGCAGAATCTAACAGTCCAGCGGCTTACGTGCAGGATGGGGTAGGGCCTGGCTTAGGTTGAGTCGCACCGGGGGAGTACGCTCTTACCCGTCATTGACTCTCCTACCCAGCTATGTCATAATTTTTTAGAGGAGGAGTGTGGGAAGCTCACCGCCCCTAGACTCGGTCGTAGGCTAGGCGAGCGAGCCATGCATATGCCTGAGGATCTTCTTGTCCATTTCGGGCTACCGCTATTTCTATTCATCTTGTTGGTTGGTCTGTGATGGATCTCCGGTAGGGCAGGTCTGATCTTCAGTCGAGGGCTTTGTCGCCCGTGTCAGTCTCTCCGGTATCCACAGTGGTTCTCGTCCCGGTTCCTGTGGGAAAACACAAACCGCGCCTCGGTTCCAGCTGACCACTGGATCCGGGCCCATCCATTGTCCTGTCAGGACATCTTTCCACTTCACCCACCCTTTATGGTTGGGGGAAGGGTTGCAGTGCTCCACAGCTGGGGAGCGATTATCATTATTTAATTTTAAAAAATTGTGTGTGAATAGTGCCATGGATAATCGTGCCTTTGGGGCCAGGCCTTGGCCTACTCCCCCTTTTTGTTTTTGTAAAATTTCTTTGAGGCTTCTATGAGCCCTCTCAATGATTCCTTGACCTTGGGGATTGTATGGGATACCATGTTTTAATTGAACCTCCATCATTTTGCAGAACTCATTGAAGGCTTTGCCTATATAGGCTGGTCCATTATCAGTTTTTAATATTTTTGGTTTGCCCCATGCGGCCCAAGCCGCCAGGCAATGATTGATCACATTAGACACTTTTTCACCTGTTTCTGCTGTTGCAAATATGACGTGAGAACAGGTGTCTGTGGAAACATGAACATATTTAAGAGTCCCAAACTCCTGTATATGTGTGATGTCCATCTGCCAAACATCACCAGGGATCAAACCTCGAGGGTTTACTCCCATCGGTATGGCAGGTTTGTATGTGGCACAGGAGTTACATAGTCGCACGATATCTCGTGCATCTGCTCTGGAAACATGGAAATGGTTTGCTAGTGTCCTGGCATTAACATGAAATTTATCATGGAAGGCACGGGCTCGCTCGATTGGTGTTAGTAAGGTAAAAATCCATAACGGGCGAGTGGCAGTGTCAGCAGCCGCATTCCCCTGTGCCATAGGCCCTGGCAGGGATGTATGTGCTCTTATGTGGGTGGTGAAGACCTTATGGTGTCTGTTCTGAAGCAATGTCTGGATAGACAGGAACAGCCCAGCCACTGTGGAAGTGGCTCTAATTAAACCGGCAGTCTCAAGCACTTGCATAGCATTGACCACATACCTAGAATCGGAGACAATATTAATGGCTTCTGAGAACCGTTCAAGAATCATTTTAACGATCTGCAGTTCCACCACCTGAGGCTGATCAGGTTCAAATTGTATGGTAACCGGGGGCTTGCCTAGGATCACATAGGCGCCTATCCCCGTCTTGGAGCCATCTGTGTATATTGTAGTTGCTAGGACTAATGGCTCAGAGGCAGTAACCTTTGGAAAAATTATAGGGTGCTGAGTGACAAATGACAAGATAGGGTCTTTAGGGTATTGATTGTTTATATCCCCATGGAAAACACATCTCAGAATGGCCCAAGTATCTATGCAGGCAGCCAGGGTCTTGATCTGGCTGGCGGTATAGGGTACTCGGATGGCTTGTGGTCCTGAGCCAAAATGTTGGACAGCTCTATCATGCGCTTCAAGGGCCAATGAAGCGACTGCCTCCGGGTAATGCTCTATGACTTTTGCAGGTGAGACCTTAGGGTGTATCCACAGTAGTGGTCCTTTCTGCCAAATCACCGCTGTGGGCTGTAGACTAGTCTGTAGCAAACAGACATCAAAGGGTCGCCCTGGTTTAATTCTGTGTAAGGTAGCCCCACCTAAGGCTTTTTCCACTCTCTGTAAGGCAGCTCTTGCCTCAGGAGTGAGCCTCCTGTGGGAGGCTATATCTGGGTCTCCCTTTAGAAGGTCGAACAGGGGTTTGAGATCTGAATTTGGTATATGTAAATATGGCCTAATCCAATTAATGTCTCCCAATAGCTTTTGCATGTCATTTAGGGTCCTAACGCCATCCATCCTAATGGTGACCTTCTGTATAAGTCTGGAGGCGACACTGAGGTCCACACCTGCTGACCCAGGGGTGGCCCTTGTTGAAGGCTGCCACCCTGAGCTGTCCTGTCTCTGGGGCGGGGGCCCGCCTGTGAAGGGGGCCCCCTCTGGCCGTTTTTTGGCTCTGTAGCATCTCGTCCACAAATACGGTTGCCCTGAGCATCAAAGACCGACCTACACTCCTCAGCTTTGTGTGATCCCCTCTTGCATCGCCCACAAACATATGGTTCTTCATTCCTAGGGCGAGGCCTAGCATCTGCATTGTTTGGGCAATGACGTTTAATGTGTCCTGGCTCCCCGCAGGCAAAACACCCTTTAGCCTTACATTCCCCTTCTAACCCGCGAGGTCCCCTCTGCTGTACAGCCGCGGCCAGGAGAGCAGCCACTCCCGAGTTGGAGAGCGGCCCCCCTATCTCTCTGCATATCCTAATCCAGGCGTTGAGGTCCTTGTTCTTATGGGGAGCTATCGCTGCCTTGCACTCCTTTGTACATTGCTCGAAAATCAGCTGCCTTACCAGCGGTCGAGCCACTCCCGGATCAGAGAATATCTTATCGGCAGCATCTTGCATTCGGGCCACAAAGTCAACAAATGGCTCTGTGGTACCCTGAATTATTTTTGAAAGACACAAGGAGGCTGTTCCGGCACCACTTACTTGCTTCCAGGCGCGGAGCCCTATGGCATTGATTTGTTCATAGACAGCGCCGGGGAACTGAGTCTGATCATCAGCGTGCCGACCTTCTCCCATAAGCATTTCTTTGTTCCACCCCCGGTTTCCCCAATTGGCGTTTCTCTCAGCCTGCTCTGCAGAGAACTCTGCGTACCAGGCTCGCCAATCCAGGTAACTGCCCGAGGGCAGACACGCCTTTGCCAGCTGAATCCAGTCCGCGGGGGTGAGGGGCCCAGAAGACAGATTCTCCAGCATGGCAATGGTGTAAGGCGTAGTCGGCCCAAAGGTTGTAACTGCATTTTTAAGTTCTCTAATCTGCTTTATCTCAAAAGGCTCCCATGCATTGCGTCCCTGGCCCATAGCTACTTGTACAGGAAATATCCCGTAGGGGCCACTATCTATCCCAGGTGGATGTACCTCATGAGACAAGCGTCCCCCCTGCCAAAGCCGCCTGTAAAAATACCGACCCGCCGGCGGCGGAGCATAAGACGGCGGCCGTGATTGGGCGGAAAATGGGGGCCCGTGCATCACTTCCTGTTCTGGCGAAAGGGGAGAGAGCTCCCAGGCGGCCGCCTCGTGGCGAGGAATCGCCTCCGGAAACGGCCCCCAAGGTAAAGAACCCTGCGACTCCTTATCGAGCGACTTAGGCTCCTGACAGCTGGTCTCTTTGGCCTCCTTGCCATTCAACTTTCCCTCGTCCTCGGAGTCAGACGACTCCGAGGCTAGAGCCCCGTCCTTCTCCTTAGCATCTTTGTTCCCCTTGACGGGCCCCTCTCGGGAGCTCCCTGACTGGGCCTGCTCAGATACCCTGCGTACTTTTGTAAGCTCTTGAGAGCTTTCTCCACAACCACCCTCACTCTTAGTGTTGCTACCTAACATGTTTCCCATCTTTTAATATGTTACTCACCGCGTGAGGCCCAAGGAATCCGCCACTTACGCGTGAGCCTGAGGGGAGTCTAAAAGCCCTGTAGGTGCGCGCCACCCAGAGCCCAGGCTTATCCCCAACTCACCTGTCTCGCAGCTCTGTACTGGAGCGTTGTCCACTTCCACGTCTCGGGGGTGATCAGTCCCCGTGCGGGCCTCCAAATGTCGATGTCCGCTCCCGGCCGGCAGGAAGGACACACGACAAAGTCTGGCAGTGGACAACCTTTTCTTTTTATTTTCCTTCTCCGTACAGCCTGCCCTGGGATCGCTCCCAGCCGAAGCCTCTTCTGGTCCGCTCCCCGCGGCTCCTTCCGGGCTTCGCTCCGAAGCCTCTACCGGTCCGCTCTCCGCAGCTCCTTCTGGGCTTCTACTTCCGGGCTTCTTCTTCTCCCCCAGGGGTGGCACCAGTATATATACGGATACAGTGTCCAATCATGTTAAAGTAAGCAAGGCAAGCTGATTGGCTAACATCATCAGTTGCCAGGCAGACTATATTGTTGAGCGGGTTGCTTACGCGGTAAACAGGAAACTAACGTGCTCGATGGGAGGGGTAATCTACCTCAGGCTTTGCTCTTTACCACAGGCCGCACGTCCGCCGCGCAAGGCGAGCTATCACAGACGCGGCTCCCAACAGACAGGCACACTCATCTCAGTAGTCAGCCCACTTTTATTAGCAAACCAGGAGCACAGGAGAAGAGGTGGTGGACTTTGACTGCGGCACAAGGAAAAGTTAATGAAAAACAAGTTCTTCCCTATGCCTGGTGCCTGCGTTCTTTACATCATCCCCCACAGATGTTATCTTGCCTTAAGAGTACCGTGGATATGAGTCCTGTCTCTGCAGCCAGGAAGCATGAGAGCCTTGCAAATACTTCTGTTGCTAAAGTGAGGTCACACTGTCCTTGAGTCCATGAGGCCCTAATCATGTCACGTGGTCTCCAATATAGTAAAATGTTATTTCGTATCCCCTCATGCTCAACACATTAAGATTTAAACTATCAAGTGAAATAAAATACAAAAGTGACTATATTTATTTTCTACTGTTGTCATAACAGATTGTCACAAATGCTGTGACTTGAGATTATACGTCATTCTGTGAGTTCAGTGTTTGGGTTGGCTTGGTTGCTTTTTCTGGTCCAAGTTTCATAAAGTCAAGTCACGGGTAAAGCATTTTTTGTGGAGGTGCTGAAGGTGATTTACTCCAAGTCTGCTCAGGCACTTTGCAGAATTCAGCTCCATGAATTTGTGCGAATGAAGTCCCATTTTATTCCAGGCTAATAACCAGAGGTCCTTCTCAGCTTCTGGAGGTCACCAGTGTTCCTTTCCTTGTGGTGTGTTTCTTCCAACAGGAAAGCCAGCAGTGACAGACCAAGTCTTTCTCCTTCTGCAGTAGTGCTGAACTCATTCCCCTACCACTGCCTGCTTTTTGCCTAATTTCAATTTGTTTTCCTTTTCTGGTGATTATCACATACACTGAGTGACTGTTCTGCCTTCCTAATATACTTTGAAGGGCTGGTATGATCACATTGGGCCCACTTGGGTAATTCAGTGTAAGCTCCCTGTATTAAGGTTCACTGAATGGCAACCATAATTCCATTTCCCAAGTTCCTTCCCAGCAGTGACTAGATGAATACTTGACTAATCAGTAGGTAATATGAGTCAGTATCTATAGATCTACATACGGTGAAGAATTATCTATAGTTGGGGATTTAGCTCAGCAATATAAGCGCCTGCCTGGCAAATACAATGTCCTGAGTTTGATCCCCCGTTCCAAAAAAAAAAAAAGAATTATCAGCAAAATGTGAGGACTTTTGGAATAAAGACATTTAGGGAACTACACTGGGGATGGCCACATTGAGTTGTCTCTCAAAAAAGCAGTTCTGATGGATGGTATGGAGTCAGAACTGGAGGATACTGGGAGGGGGTAACAGTCTCAATGCCATTGTGGAGATGGTAGGGCGATGGTGTGTGGTGCGCTTAGAGCAACCCTGATCTAGGACCTCAGTCCACGAATACTAATAATTATTTTCACTGAGTTGTTCAGGTCTCTGTAATGTAAAAATCAGATTTTTTTAGGTCAAAGCAAAAGCGTGGGAATGTCAAAGTTTGTGATTATTTAGTGGGCAGAAATAATACTTTAAAAAGTGGGATTCTTTTTTCTTTATTCTTCCTTCTCCTTTCTCTCTTGTTTTGTGTATTACCTTTTCTGCTGCTATTAGAACTAAATAGAATTACATATGGATCCTCTGGAAAGATATTCCCATTATTTCTAAACTTCCTGAATCCCAAATTTACTGGAGGGTGGCCTTACATAAAAGTATACCACTCTCACCTTATATTGCCCCACAGGACTTAGTTCTCTGACTGCGATTAGTGGACTTTGTATCCTGCTTTATAGGTGGGGGTTAGTACAATCTCAATGCATGTTGTAAGGTCCTGTGGTCATGGGGCATCTCTGATGTCTGTCTAAAAATTGTATCCATATCATAAAAGTGATTTTTATAGTGATTTCACATAAAAGAGTAATCCTTTTCATTAGTATTGCTCTGTGCCACTTATCTTTCTTTTTATCCAGTTTATTTATAAGCTTTATAAAGGGTTGAATATACCTTTTTGTTTTGAAAGTTGTGCATCTAGCCAAGAAAATCATAAAATACTTCCTGCCAACCTTTTAAAAATAGAAAGCAAACTGCCTACAGTTCTTTATTTTACCTTCTAAAGGGTGTATACATAAGGTCTAAAATAATGAAACCCAGCACAGCTGGTGCTTTTTTAAAAACCTGAACATGAGAAATAGAATGAAAAGTGGAAGATACAGTGGCAGAAAGCTAAAGGATCTTTTACTGGGGATCAGCGATTTCATTTTGGTGGTGTACATTTTACTCTTAAGCCTTGTATGCATGATACACATTCCTGGTCTTTTCAGAGTCTTCTTCCTGTTTCCCACCACTGTTTGTTCTTCCTTCTCTTCTGTTTCACTCAAACCTGAAGTGTTGGTGATGGTGATCGAAGACCTGTGAAGGAAACCCATTCATCCTCTATGGCTCTTTTCATGATCTTTGAGAAGAGAAAAACTCCTTATAGGAGGTGCCTTCCACCTTCAGAGTGAGTGAACATTAGCTCTGAGTAATTCACACAGCATTTATTTCTGCTACTACTTTAGCCTGCAAGGGAAGCACTTGTCGCTTCCCCTTGTGACAGTCTCCTTGTCACCCTCCTGCCTCCAACTTTGCTGGTGTTTTGAGTAAAGCTTCTTGCTTTCATATCCAATGGGAATATTGATGTACTATAAAGAAGGATAAATTCACATCATTTGTGTGAAAATAGATGCACCTTGAATCCATAATGTTAAGTGAAATAAACCAGGCACACAACATTAAAAATCACATAGTTTCTTTTATATGAGAAATGCAAAATGTACTTTAATCAAAGAGCAAAATAAAAGATGGACAATAAGCAATAGATCTTTGGCAATAGAGAAGGAGATTAAGAGATGAGAGAGGAAATGTAAAATGAAATATGATGTCTCATGTATAAACACCATGTCTCCAGGTAGTGTGGAATTATTATGTACCACAAGCATATATATACATATATGTCTTCCACCAGTGTTTGGTTTTCTCCATGTACATATGGAGAGAGAGAGAGAGAGCGAAGAAGAGACATAGAGGGAGGGAAGAAGAAAAAGAAGAAGAAGAAGAAGAAGAAAGAAGAAAAGAAGAAGAGGAGGAGGAGAAAGAGGTCAGGAAGTTGTTGATTTCGTCTTTTCCCATTCAGGTTTCAATTCAGCATGATAAGGTATATTTTCCGGTAGCTCTGGAAGATTGTCCTGTTCTCTGCTTGTTCTCACATATTTTACTTTGAGACTATATTTCTTTGTCCACTCTGTAACTTAGTTATGTTTCTGGTTTCTTTTCTCTAGGAAAAATTGATTTTTAAAAAATGAAAAGAAGCCTGTAGTGACTCTCCTAGGTAATTTCTTCATGCGCCTCTCGACTTTTATTTCCCTTCTTTGTAAAACTTAAAATGAAAAGCTCCTTGTAAGGACCCTTCCCATGTTACCTCCCAGGAAGTGGCGTCAGCACTTCTGCTGGTGCCCACATACATTTTTGTAAAAAAAAAAAAACAAACTCCAACTTATGCTTTGAAATTATTATTATTAAGATAAAGAAATGTAGAGGCAAAATTTGTATTTGATGTGTTTTTTTTTTAAACCAGGAATCAAACTCAGGACTTCACCCTTGTGTATTTGTATTTGAGATCCTCTTTCAACTTTAAAAATCAATAGCTTCCTAAGCTTCACACCATTTCTTTGAGTGACAGAGTCACCTTCATTTAAAAAGTGAAGTTTGCACTCATGCAGAGCATGCACACACATGTGCACACACAGAGTCAAGCATTCGTGGTCAGATGGGTGTCTTCCTTGAGTCCCTTTGTGCCATTTGCTAGATAAATTGCTAGCCCTATTGCCTGACCATAATGTCAAGATATAAGTGGGCCATTAAATTCTGCTGGTGGATGGAGACAAGCTCAAAATAAAAATATAAAGAATAGTATATGACCTGAATTGTGTTACAATGAGAGTAATTTATAATTACCCTGAAGGCAATGTGAAAGGGAAAAAAAAACTATTGTAAATAACTTTGATAAACAGTGTGTTTACTAACCACTAGTTGGCTGAAGGAAGGCAAAAAAAAAAAAAAGTATAGAAATACCATACATACTCTCATACTCTAGTTTGTGATTTTTTTCCTTCAGTGGGCTATGAACTAGTCATTCTGAAACTATTACTTTATGTATACACTAGGGTTGAACAACACACAAATACACAGCAGATGATGAGAGCCAGGATACTCTTGAGAGACAAGACTGAAGTGAACACTAGTGTTGAATTGTGGTTGGAGTCACCATATGAATTCATTCTTTTTAATGTGTAGACAAGAAATGTAGATGGATGTGTATGTGACCATGTTTGGGCCACTGTACATGCCATATATTTCCTAGTTCTGCCTGCTAAAAGGATCAAGAGGCAGTGATATCTCACTAGCAGAAACCAACCTTGGTTTCTAAACACTGATCACCAGGGAAAAGAACCCTGGTGCCATTGAGAAGAGGTGGGTTCTAGTCCTGGGGAAAATATAAGATAGGCCCAGAACATCTTGCATTGCCAGAAAATAAGGAAGCGCTCATGTAGAGGAGGACTACTAGGCGGACAACCCAGCCACCCTGGAGGGAGTTCTCATGCCCAACCTGGAACAGTTGGAACCAGAAAATGATAACATTAGATTATGCCCAGAGAGTTAAATGAAAATCTTATTTTAAATGAATATCCATGTGCTCATCGAACAGTCTTTAATGAGAGAAATACTGTATGTGAATTAGCAGGTATAAAAAGTCAGGGGAGTAGAAAACCAGCATCAGGCAAGGAGCCCAGTAGTTATTGTTGCATGCAAGATCCATTGATGGATGTCAAGATTAGTTGTTGAAAGCTTGAGGAGAAACAGGATATTTGCATAGTCTGAAAGTATCTTTCCCAAGATATTAATTATAAAGGAAAAAGTAGTAGCTTCTATGGAATTAATATCCAGCAGATACCATCTTAGTGGAATTATGATGATTGGCCTCACCCCTGATAAGAGACATGGGCATCGTGAAGCCTCTAAAGTACCAAGGAAAACCTTGTCACTTCTCAGCATCCTCCATCAAATCCTTAAGCTTATTGTAAACGTAAGAAACCCCTAGTCAAATTGAATGGTAGTCTACAGACCAACTGATCTGTTCACTTTGAGATATTGAAATCCTGGAATTAGAAAAAGGATGATAGAAGGGATCTAGTGAAACTTGAATATGGTCTATCCTGTAGTTTAATTAGTCCCAGTGTTAATGTTGAAGTCCTGGTTTGGGTAATTATGATGTTGCTACCTAAGATCTTCACAAGAAGGAGAAGTTGGGGGAAAGGTTTACTGGAACTATTTGTGCAACTTTTTTGTAATTGTGAAATTATTTAAAAAGAAAAGGAAAGATGCTGAAGAGTTAAAGGTGCAAAATGTATGTTCAAAGACATTAATTGCAGCACTGTTTATAATAGCAAAATGTTGTAACACTGATGTCCACAGTGAAGGGTTAGGTATATTGTACTGCATTCTGATGTTGAATATATTTTAAAAAATGATGACATGGAATTATGTATGCTAATATATAAAGAGAAAGACTCAAGTGTAGATGGTATTTACTCAAGATGCCTATCGTTCAAATCCCATCCTTGATAATTAAAACTAATTCTAAGACTTTGGGCAAATTATTCTTCTTCCCTCTCATCATCAGTTTCCTCATGTGTAAATTAATACAAATAATATCTGGTTAAGAGCTGGCCATGAAGATAAATGTAAAAAATCATGTGAAGCCCTCAGGGTGATACTTAGCCTATTATAAATATTTGATGAAACAATTAGTAGTGTGTTATTTTAAAGGAATAAATGCCAGAAAACCTCCAGTACAACATTAAGTATGAGATGATACCAATTCCATTAACATTCCTATATGTGAATTGTGAAGTCTAGAAACTGTATGTCAATCAATGATAGGGTGTTGGGGTACAACATCTTAGGGTCCTGCTTTCTAAGTTACTATGTTAACATTCATCTTCCTAAAACATGAAGTTAGAGAAATAGCCACAGCAAAGGTAAAATAAACCTGCTGTTTACTATCAAATAAAAATAAGCAAAGAGAAGTGTATCCTTAAGGCTCGAGTCTTGGGGAGTCACCAAGATCATTGACACAGTCGAAAGCACAGCAGGCTTTGCTGTGTCCTCAGCTGCTTAAAACTAGAAGATGCCTGCAATCCTCTGGAATATAGTCTTTACTGGAAGATTAATTTAGTATCCTATTGTTTAATCGCAGCTGTGGAAGGTTATCATGTGTATGGGTGTAACCAGCTCTTTGTCTTCATGGGACATAAACCAAAAGGCTAGGTAGCTGAAGTAATTCCAGTTATTTTCATTACCTGGAGAAGAGCACCTGAATGGTGCTTTAATCTCTAAGCTTCTACCGCTTTTTCTCGCTAGTTTGGTGATGGCTAGCTTGAGTTATGATAGGAGCCACAATTTACTAACAGCACATATTTTCCAAGAATGTTTATATTTATAAATATAAACTTTAGCTGTGACTTGTAAGTTATTTATGACTGTAAAGGTTTAGGATTTGTGTTTTTCTGTGCTTGTGTCAGTGCTTATGTTGTTTTGATACTCTTCAGAGTTCTGTGCATTTTGTCTGACCGCTCTTATTGAAGTCTACACAAATCTGCAGCAAATTTTAAGACTTTTTCTATCTTTGAGGTTTGGGGCTATACAGTAATGGATTTTGTTTTCAGAAAATGTTGTTTTATTTGACATAGTAATTGTACGTATGTATGGAGTAGCGTGTGATATTTTGATACATATATACATTGTTAATGCTCAAATCAAAGTGTACTGGTTTTTAAAAGGACCACAGGGGCAAAACGGGGATGAAATGTCAAAAAACAGTTTGTGGTAAGGAAATAGGAAGACCATTTCAAGAAATTAGAATAAAAGGCAAAATACTCTTACTCTCTTGCATTTATGATTCCTTCCCATCCTCCTCCCTCCTCCACCCTCCCTTCCTCTCCCTTCTTCCGCTGCATGTGGTCACTGTTTCACCTGTCAGTAACAGGAGGGAAGAGCATTTTTCTTTCACAATAAAATTAGGTGCAGTGCACTGAAGCTCCTATTTCTGTGTTGTAATCTCTGGGGAGCTTAAAGTAGATAGGACAGGGCTTCTTATAATGCACCAAACCATGGATGCTGGTAGGTAATTTGTCTAGGATTGAGTTTTAGAATATTACCTATTAAGCATACTGATACTGCTTCAATGTTTTTGTGGAATTTTTTCATTCACTTGTCAAACTTCGGCTTCTTAAACTTTATGCTTTTAATATGGGAATAAAATTGGCCAACGCTGGTGGTGTGGCTTACATGAGCCATTGCAGTGTAAATTGGGATCAAACAGTAACAAGCTCTAAAGAAAGAACCATGGGCTTTTGGAAGCAGGTCATCTTACAGTTCTAACCCTGCCACTTACTGGCTTTGTGACACAGGGCAAACGCACAGTGCTTTCTGAAGCTCCTTTCTCCAATTGTTGGATATAACATCCCTTTCTTATAACTGTTCCCTGTAATTTCTTTATGGTAGTTGTTACAAACACTAAATGAGATTTACATGTAAGAAATTTTTACCACATCCTGTGCCTCCTAATTTGTACCTTTATGGGATCCTTCCTCACTTTACCCCCCCCCCCCGCACCTCATTTGTTCTAATCTATGTCCTACTCAGGGATATGTTTTCTAAAATTAAAAACAAACAAAAAATACAACAGAAAACTTAGTCTCCTTTTATATTTGGTTCTGAAATATTAGGAAGTTTTATTTCTTCCTTTCAGTTCCTTCATTCCTTGTTGACTTTGTGCCAAGACTTCTTTCTGGAGGGGAGGAAACTTTCCGCTTTCAGGAGAAAACCCAGTGAATTCAGCTCTCAGGAATGGTAGGAGACCTGGGAGAGCTCCAGGGACAAAGGGGGAACTGAAGTTCAGAGAGCTGGAAGGTGGGATCAGGATTCCTACAAGAGATGCTTTCCTAGAAGAGATGCTCAAGGAACTTAGGACAAATCAAAAGCAAAGGATCATTGGTAGAGGGAATACTGTATTCATTTAGATGTGCAAATAGCAGAGAAAATGATTTCTGGGTGACTCCTTGCATGTAGGTGCTTGGTTAAGGACCATTTCACTGGTTCTAAGAATGAAGAGCAGTCTTATTAGAAATGGAAATAATCTTGAAAGGATGTTGGCCTAAACTGATATCCCTACAATTTCAGATGAGGGAACTGAAGAGTTATCAAGGGTGTTAGGTTTTAGAGAAACGGAGACCTCTTCTGAGTCAACCAAACTTTTCCTGCTGTGATAGGAATACAGTGATCTTAACTGATAAAAACACACTTAGAGAATGGACCAGAGATATGGTGTATTCTCCAGGGACATTTTACAAATGAAACATGAGACATTTTTGTCATTGCAGCTGGAGAAGGTCTCTGTAAGATATCAGAATGACAAGGAGAAGTGAAGTAGAGCAAAGAAGAGAGGTGTGGTTGAATTCTGAGGGGAGAGGGATTAAGTTGCTGAAACTTAGCTACTAGAGCAGTGCAGAGATGATCCAGGCTGAGTTAACAACCAAGACCTGTCGACATGGAGCCACTGCCAGTGTCCGGTTCTGCAGGCCATTTGGCTGTCCGGGCTGGAATCAAGGGAAACACAGCTGAGCAGTGCCCTTGGGGAGGTGGCCAGGGGAAGCTCCCTGGAGAGCGCTCATTGGTGGCCTGAGGACTTCTGCTTATGCTGGATTGCTCCCTTTGCAGCAGTCACCTCAGAGCTCACATTGTGCAGTTTCATTTCTATAAATTTCTTCATGAACAACAAAGCATCTATTATCTCTGACTTGATGTTTCATTACTTACGGTCTCTTGAATCTTCTGTTGGAAAGAACTGCTTTTTAAAAGATTGCTAGCAGTGTTATCTTCATTTAGTTTAGCATCTTTAAAAATTTAAGGGACAAGAATGCCAGAAGACCAAGTAATTTCAAATGTTCTCACCATAAAAAAAAAAAAAGTGCATTAATTAGCTTGATTTGATTGTTTCACACTGTGAATTTACTGTTTTGTCTTAAATATATATAATTTGACATTGTTGATCTTTGATAAAATTTAAAAATTGATTTACATTTTTACCACTAAAAGTAAGATGTAATCCTATAACTGTTTATTAATAGTGAATGGCACTGTTATTTATAACATGGAGCTATCATCTATGGACTATTAGACACACACAAAATTGAAGTTAAAAAATAGATTTCAAAGTGTATAATTCTCTTTCTTATTTCCAATCCTATAATAAAACACAGATGTTTTAGGACACTTTATGGTTTACTATAGAGTTCTAGTAAATGCACTGTATTTACATTTGATCTTTTTCAGGATTGCCTGGCCTTTTGTTTCTTTAAATATGCTTGATATTTCCACAACCAGTCTATAACTAATAATTAAGCATGAGAACACTCATGTTTTTCTTTATATATCCTACTCTTTTTTTTCTCCACAAAGATTTATTTATTGTCTAATGTCTTTATTTTTTCTGGGGGAATTATATTGTCTCCTTGTTAGTGATCAGAGCTGCAAAGAGTTTTCAGTCTGAATTAATACCTTAATGCTTAATCTTCCTTATCTCTTAAAAACATTTACCATTAAGATTTTATGAAACTGAATTTTTCCTAGTTTTCCATATATGCTTTTCAAAATTATTTGTGAACCACAAACATGTTTATTAATTAAATTGCATAGAGAACTAAGCCTTTAGTCAAAGTCATTCTGAACAATATATGATATCTAAATAACTAAGGTCTAGCTTAGAAGAAAAAAGCAAGTAACAATCAAAATAGCAACAACAAAATCTTCATTAAGGTTATAGTCTCAGGTGTTATTTTGAGAAAAACAGTTAATTAGAATTTTTTTTTTTTTTACAAAAAAACCTTTTTTTAGAGGAGGAGTAAAAGAATTGAGGGATTTTCTGCTTTTTAGTATTTTTTTTTAAAAGCAATCCAAGAAGACCAAAAATAACATTTGTGAAAAATGGCAAATCTATTAAAGATATTGTCAGCCTTTTTTAACCTGTAAAAGGTTTATATCTATGTGATGGAGCTGACATTCTAAGTTCTAGTATGAGTCTCCATTTGAAGCTCAGAGTCGGGATGTCAGTTTGAAACTCTCCTACCTGCTTGTTTAGTTAAATCTACGATAGAATTCATATTTCTTATAGTGATGGGATATTCCCAATGTAATGTGTAGTATGTGTGGCAGGTCTTCTTATAATGTGGTTACTGTGTGAATTTAAATATATAAGCTATTGCTTTTGTCCCCAGCAAAAGCAGTGGTGTAAAAATACCGTGAATCAGCATTTTTATTCTTGACAATGTAAATGTTATCTAATCATAGGACAGTAGAGTTGGAATTCATCCTTGATCTCAGTGAACCATCTCATAAGAGAGAAAAGGGATTTCAAAGATAGAAAATGACTTCTTCAAAGCCCAGTTGTTGTGCGTAGGAAAAGACAGAATAGAGAGGAGTAATGCTGCTCCTTCTTTTTCATTGCTGTTGATTCCCAACTGTCAGGATGCCTCTGATTGGCAGGGACACGCAAAACTGGTTACCTGAAAAGTGTGACAGTTGCCGGTGATGTTGAGCTATGGAAGTGTAATATTCAGTTCTGGGCTTGTGAATCTTTTCTTATGACTCCATTTCAGGCAACTGGCTCTCCTAATTCCTATTCCATTACCTTCTTTTAATCTCACACCAATTGAGTCATTTAAAGTGAAGCACGGGTAATGCTTACTCCCATCTGTAGATAGAAAAGACGTGTACAAGCAATTCTTATTGGTCATGGATTGGGTAGAGGAAGCCTATACTATCTGTAGAAAACCTGTTTGCTAAGGATGTATGCAGGGAAACACATAATCAGGTATGTCAGCATCGATGCTGAAAGTATTCCCCATTAGGCAAGTTTTGTGTATTTCTTCTGCTAAAGTTCAAGATACTGTGGCTATAGAATTAGAAAGTAATAAAATAGAGAAAAACTGTACCCTAGGAAGAATTTTAAGTACATATTTTCTCCCTAAATTATGTCTGCAAGACTAATCTATAGACATATATGCATCATAAAATCATATACTTTATGAGTAATTTACTGCACTGAAAATAGCAGACAGAGGGCATAGCTGAGTGGCAGAGTACTTGTCTAACATACACAAAGTCCTAGTTTGATGCCCAGCAATGTGAGGGAGAGAAAACAATAGAGCAGAGAATCTGGGTTCAAGTTAATGTTCTTCTATTTTCTAATGGTGGGCCCTAAGGTTCTCATTTATGAATAGCATTTCTCAAATGTGACTATTGGAATATATATTGGAAAGAACCTCAGGAGAAATAGTAGCCATCTTTTGCCTCCTAGAGAACTTGGATTTTAATTGATTTAGGATGGTATTTTTAAAGCTCCCTAAGTGATTCTAATGGAAAAAATAGGCAACAACTAAAGACTGTGCAGTCCTTTTCAAGTTCTAGTACTTTGAAATCTTGAGTATTTTAAAATTTCATCTCCTAGGGGCTGGGGATTTAGCTCAGCGGCATAAGTGCCTGCTTGCAAGCAGTCAGTCGTGAGTTCGATCCCTGGTACCGATAAAAACGAAAAAGACAAAAAAAAAAAAGAAAGAAAGAAAAAAAAATTTCATCTCCTCTAGTCTCATGCTCAGCATAATCATCTCTTCACATTTGAGAAACAGCACCGTGTTTCTCTATGAACATCCATGTGGGAGTTACTTATTTAAGTTTTTCCTAATAGCATAATTTGGCTTTGGAACATTGTCTAATTCCTATGTATTTGATGATCTTTGAGTGCTTGAAGATTATTTGTATGATTCAGCGGAGTTAACTGTTGTTATACGACATTATTTTCATATCCCAACATGTAGTTTGTTTTGTTCTGGGCATGATCTGTCTCTTAGAGATGAACACCATCCTTTTGAAGATCAGAAGAGGAGCAGAGGGTTTTTGATGATTGAGCCCCTCTTAAACATTGATTGAGATACAATTAGTAAAAGACTTTTTGTTTATTGCACTTACTGATCTACAGATACATCTTCTTATGAGTGCAGTAGAAAATGAAATTCGCAGCATTTGAGTTCTCTGTACCAGCCACATCTTTCTAGGATTTATATTAACACATTTCATTTTTGCAATGGCATTTATTTATTTATTATTTTAAAAGGAATAGAACAAACCAATAAAGTGAAACAAAACAAAACAATGAGAACCTGATATTTGATTTCAAAAAGAAAACAGTAGGGAATTCACCATAGTCACTATATTGCATATAAGTATCCTCTACATAGTTGCTCAGACTACTGACTTTAGGCTTTCAAAGTGAATCAAACAATACAAGCATTAGCATTGTTTCTTTACTTCTGTTGTTAGCATCTTAGCCTGTGTTCCTCCAAATCAGCAGGTTGCTTAAGGCAGGGGATAGTGTTCTCTTTCTATACCTGCCCAGGCAGTGGCTGGCTCATGCAGGTGGAGGTGGAGCATGTAGCTTCTTTCCTGGTTCATCCCAGTCTGTGGGCCTCCGTTGGCTCAAGGAGGATGGGTAGGTGTGTGGCTTGTCAATAGTATTTATGAAGCAAGTGTCATTATTATCTTTATTTAATATATAGAAAGAAAGAATAAGTGGAGCAGAGCAAGTGATCATCTTGCCTCTTGTTTCACATTGGGTGGCAGAGTTAGAATGTTTGTTGATGGCTCCATAGCCTGGTCCTCTTAGCCTTTCAGCAGAGCATTTTTTGTCTGTAAAATAAAGAGTGCTGATTTCTAAATACCTTATCAACTTCAAAATTTCTTGTAACTCTAAGTAAATTTAATAATAATTATGCCAATACCTTTACATAGTATATCAAAAAGTCTTTGGTCTCTTAGTCCTATTTCTGAACTAACTATGTGAAGAACTATTTACTTTATTTGATCCTAAATCATAAATACCCTTACCTGAATTTACACATCAAGCTAATCTTTTTTATTTAGTAAAATATAAAAAAATTAGATTCCATTCATTCATTCTTCTGAAAATCAGGAGATAGTATATTGATAGAATCTTGCAGTATTCTAGAATCTAGAGTTTGCACAAAATCAGAGACTCCTGAAATCTATTACAATTTGGCAGCTACAGAAGGTGGATGGATAATATAAATTTATGTTTGATAAGCTAAAACTTAATAGTATGCTGTTATAAGAAACTTCTAAAGTTCTTTACATAAAGTAGCTGATATGTCAATTATAAATTATTTTCATTCTTTAAATTTTAATAAATTCTCCTAGAAAATCTTTGTTAAATTTAAAAATTTTAAAACACGATTTTTACATCTAGAGTGAGTGGTTTTTCAGTTTACTCAAGACTGAAGTTTTCTGACGGTATATCACTGAAAAATACATAAATAACCCTTGTTTATATCCAATAACCCTGTGTTCTCACAGTTTAGCCATCCTAAGAAATTTGTCTTGCTTCTATCCGGTATTGTTTCTTAGTGTTTGTATAATTCATTCTGAAACCTCTGGCTTTTTGTTCAAGGCTTGTGTGTTCTAGGTTGCCAGTACAAATCATGCTACACAGGACTAGAACACTTCAGAAAAAAATGGTGCTAGTGGAGCTTCACTCCATCTGATGACTGCAGCTTCAGGTGTCTTTATAGGACTCTTAAAGAACATAAAGTGTGGAGGTTGTGAATAAAACATTCTGTCCACTGTGAGTCTACGTGGATTCATTTGCATTCCATTTGTCAGCTCAGTGTATTACCCTGAATGAGTTTTGTGAGCCTTGCACTATCACTTCAGAACATGTCTGCTGAGGCTGGGTGGTCCTGCGCACATGTGGCAGTATTACCCTCTAAATTACTGGGTTCAGGAATATAAAGAAGAGAACACTCTTTGATGTGAAAGTCTGATTTTCATTTTAACAGCAGAATTTTACGTTTTCATCCCAGATGAGGACTGTTGCTTTTGTAGTACAAAAAGCCTTTGTAATGACACTGCTGTTCTTTAGAAGCTTTTGATTTTAGCTGTAGAAAAAATGATTTAACACCTTAAAAAAATCACAATGAGAAATTTTGGTGTTTTTGTTGGTACTCATATTTACAGTTATAGATTCATAGAATGAAAATACAGGAGATTTTGAGAAATATTGTAACCCAACCACTTCATTTTATAGGTACCTCTCAGCACTATGCCTTTGTTTCAGAAGAAAACAGGAAATATCAAACTCCAGGAGGAAAAGGACTTGATTTACCATATTTAGTGTGTTTGTACCCCAGTAGGAATTCAGTTGGGTTTGCTTAGTGAATCAATCAAGAACCTAGGTTTTAGGAAGAGAAAAGATGCCAAAGTTATCCTCTTAGTAATTACCAGAATATAATCTAGAAACATTATCTTCTGACTACAAATTCTGTACGTTTCCCCAGGATTTAAGAAAATAGACTTTTACTTAGGAACCTTAATGTTTATAAATGATCACATGCAGTTTACCTTAATACTACTTTTCAGGCATATAAACTATCTTATTAAAGCTTTATTGTACCACTTTTTGAAAATACTTTTATCCATATTTTATAGATAAAAAAACTGGGCTGTACAGAATCAGACCTAAGACCCATCAAGTTTTTCTGCTCCAAATTTAGTGATCTATTTTTGCCTTTTACATGGGGCACAGAGTTATTCAGTCCCTTAAGGAACTATAACTGAAATTATTTTTCCAGCACCTTGTAAATTAGAGACTTTAATACCAGTATCTCTGTTCAGTGCTAACTTAGCCCTAGGGCTCTGTATTAGAAAGCCAGCATAAAAGGCATAGCTTCTCAGCTTCTCTGGTATATGATTTTAGACTTTGGCCTCCTGTGTGGTCTGATTTGAAGGGCTTCTGTGCTCTTTTTTCTTTTCTTTCTCATTTTCCCATAATTAGATTTTCATTTCCTCATTTTTGTTCTAAATGACTTGTGGGCTTCAAGACTTTCCTACTAAATTGCAGATACTACTGGGGGAAAATGGTATTAAAACTTATTTGAGGATTAACATCCAGAGCTGGGAAAGGAACATGACCTTTTCCTGGTTTCTGTTAAGGAGACAGTGGAGGGAATGATGAATGTGGAATGATGTAGAGGCCATGGTGACATGACACTAAAGAAAAGCTTCTTTATCCAGGCTCAGCCAGCTTGTTTCTTGGGTGCCTGGAATAATGTCATTATATCTCCACTTTTCTGTGTAAACTCATCTGTCAGCCATTTTTTTGGCAAAGGTCAAGCATGAGTAATACCACCGTCTATTCCCAACGCATAGGGATTTAAAGATGGGGATGGAATTCTGCAGCACTGCGGTTGGGTGCAGGGGAGAGCAGGCTGTCCACAGGATTTGCCAGGTTCCTATCTTCATTTACCACTTTTATTTCTCAACTGTGGCTGTTCCAATGTTTGTTTATTCTAGAAGGATTATTAGAAACGTGAAACTTAGAAAATTATAATCATGAAAAGTAGATCTCAATTTTTAAAAGGGATTTTGCATTTCTTTTTCTATTAAAATTCTATAGTTTTTACCTGGTAACCAGTCCTTATAATATACCTTTTTGTGTAAAATGCATGTTTACCAAAAGTAGTATGAAACTCAGAAATGAATCTATAATGTGGCAAGTTTATTCTCTCTTGTAATCAAGTTTGTCATTATAATCTGTGCTCCAGCTTCCATTTTGTTCTTTTTTATTCTTCATTGGCTGAAGAATCAAGAGGAAGAGATGGATTATTATCAAGAAAAAGTACTTGTTGGTCATCCTCTGCTTGCTTGCTTCTCCTTCCTTGATATTTTGGCTTCCAGTAGTGGAGGCTGTGATAGAAGAGGGCCACCTGCTGTTCTGCCTCTGTGTACACAGGCTGCTCTATCCATCTAAGGCTTGCCTCCCCCCCCCCATACCCTTTGAAGTTTGAGCTGACTTGTGAGACAGAGTGGGGCAGAAATGATGCTGTGTGAAGTTTTTGTAATCCTTCAGAGACCTGGAAGGTTCTGAGTCAAGATGAGGAAGAAAGTCCAGGTTATCCTGCTGGAGGGAAAAGCTACACATACTAGCATGGAGGTGATATACCTTACTGCCTGCACCCTACCAGGCATGGAACTGGGAGGTCTTGGGTCCTGCACTTCAGGGAGAGCCCAGCCAGTCATGTCAAACCAAATCAAGCCATCCTTACTGAGTTCTGCCCCTGGATACTCATGCACACTGCAAATATTTTAAGCCACTGACTTTCTTGGTAGCTGGTGACAGAGTGATAGATTACTGAGACGGGATTTGTATCTTCCCAATCTTCCTTATTTTCTGACATCTGTTTGCTATTTGTCCAAGTACTTCTAAGGCACTGCAGTACTTAGGGATCTGCCAACTGGTCAGTATTTTTATGTACAGATCCCTTAAGCATAGCAGCTGCTTCTCACCTAGTAGTTAGTGGCATTTTAAAATCATGTTTACATCTGTCTTCATTTGGAGTAGTTGTGTCTGCTGACATGGGCACAGTGGCAATGTCTCATAGCTGTAGATAGGAGACAAAAAATTACCCCTCTCTTTAAAAAGAAAAATAAAAAGATGACATTATTTCTAGAGTCTATTTCCTGCCACTATGTGTAACTTTGCCTCTTAGATTCTTTGGATAGCTTAAACATTCTACTTATTGATGGATGAGGAACAACACGAAAAATATCTGAGTTTTAAAAAAGAAAACAGCAAAGACCAATACCAAGGAGAGTTTACAATGTAAGTCTTACATTCAAATTATAAGTGTTCCCAATAAAGCCTAGAAGGTAGTTATTTAGTTTTATTTTAAACTTTCTGGAAGGATCTGGAGCCATTTTAAAAAGTGCATCTTTTAATTTCCTGCCTAGAATAAATGTTTATTCTGAGGTTCTTGTATTAGCTTCTATAAACAATTTCTTTTAAAATCTCAAGGTAGTATTTTTCTCATTTTGTTGTCAGCTTTTTGTTCCTGAATTACAATTTTTTTCTGTTGTCTTTTTGCCTAGCCATTCCTTTCCACAAACTGTCCTACATAGTTGACTAAAAGAGACTAAGATCATGTTTGATCTAAGGGCAGTAAATTTTAAGTATCAAATGGATGAAAGAGGAAGCATTCAGAGGCTTTTCTTATTTGGCAGAGAGGGTCTTGTCAAGCTCACCTTAATGGTTTGCTAGTTCAGTCATTATTTATTTATTAACGGTGACTCCCCAAGTTCAGTCAACAAAAGTTAGAATAGTATTTTGCTATATGATGAAGTGACCTTTTTTTTTTTTTTTTGAACTATTTCAAAGTAGAATTTCATTTTAGCAACATCTTCAAAGATCTGCTACAGTGGGAAAAATACACAAGCTACTTAGAAAAAAGAGTAATACTTTAGTTAAGGTGTTTTGTAGTTTTGAAAATCAAAGCTCATATACAGTTTGATCCCTATGTTTCTTAAATGGGGAAGCTTTTATGTTCAATAATGCTTGTTTTTTTAGGCTTTTCTATTTTAATGAAAGAGGAAATAAATGGATGCAATTACAGTTCTTACTGAGTGAAAACATTGTTTAACACATCACAGCAGCATTACTAAGAAAATTTGAATTATGAACTTCCTCAGTAGAAAGGTTTAGCTTGGGAATTTCTTTCTTTCTCTGATGTACCAGGATAGAAGCAAGGATATGGAAGATTTTTCCCTAGAATGGCAGTTGTAGTTTTTCATACTGGTCTTAGTTCATTGCTGGCCCAGAGTGAGGGGCGCTGTTCAGAGAAAACATATTGAAGGTAATATATGAGATAGAGGCTGTATTGCTGTTCTAAGTACACAGTTAACTAAAATTGTTCAGTAAAAATCTATACCTATAAATCTATATTTCTTATTTATTTTTGTTTTGGTAACTGTGAATCTTATTCCTTTTCTTTTTATTTATTGTGGTTTATGTCTGGGTGTCCCTTCAAAGCTTCATGTAGTTTTAGATGGGGCTTTTCCAGAGGTGGCTGAATCTGTGACTGATTCGTCGTGCAATGCTGGGATTAAGGAGGCTTAAGTATGGGTGATTGCTGGATCAGTGCACCGATCGGATTGGCACCATCCAGTTCTGATGGACTGCGTACAGTGTAAGAGACGGAAAGAGGTTTGTGTCTCTCACCCTTGTTGCTTTTGCTGTCTTCAGCTCCCATGAGCTGTTGCTCCTCTGCCATGTGCCACCCTGCCTTGGTGCCAGCTGATTATGGACTGAAACCTGTACAAACTGTGATCTAGATAAACCTTTTCTTCTTTAACTTTGAGTGTCAGAGAAGAGAAACTAAGACATTATCACGTACTTTGGTCAATGTGATACCATATTCTTGGGAGTACTACATAAGTTTAAATTCAATAGTTTCACCTTGAAATAATACAAAATGAGATACCTTACAGAAGGTACTATCTTTAGCTAGAAGTTGATATTGTATGTTGGCTAATCCTGGGAATGAATGTGAGTATAAAAGAGCTAGTTAATTTGGTTCCAGTGAAAAGGGAATTCAGGACTAGTTTGATCTATTTTCTTAGTCTGGTGCTAAGCTTTTACAGAATGGATGGGCATTGTGAGATTGTATAGCTTATAAGTTCTGAGGATAGTCCAGTTTAGAAATCTTTGCTGACTAGCAGAGGAAGTTTGAAGCCTCAAAGTGGAAAATTAAAAAAAAAAAATAGATTTAATGCACATATAGTTAATTAAATCTCCTGCATTTAAAGTTACTAATTTTTGAGTTAACTTTTACACTACTCTTCTTTTTCTTTGGATGAAAAAGGAGAAAGAAGAATCAAGTTGTCAATCAACAATCACTTTTAAGTAGGCATTTTGAATATGCTTTTCCCACAAGGAAATTAGTCTCAGGACTGACAGTGACATTCAAGACTCCAAACGTTTCTTTGCCCCTACCCAGCTTCCCTTTCATATTCATTTTCTTAAAGATTATTTATCTTGAATTGACATAAAGATTATACACATTTATCACGTAAAACTTTTTTAAAAATGGGTATATTTTGGAATGGCTAAGTCAAGCTAATTAACATGCATTTCTTTGAGTACTGCATGCTTTTAGTTCCTTCTTGATATCACCTCATGGCCTTATGAGCTCTGCTTTTTGCCACGCTCTGTAACTTCAGTTCTTTCCTTTGGCCCTAGTCCTCCAAACCTACTGAACTTCTTCCAGTGCCTGAGCACTTTTATACTCTTTTGCCTTTAGGTCTTCATCTATGCTGTTCCTGCTACTTTGCACAGTCTCCCCTCTTTTGATTTGGCTGTCTCCTACTCTTTAAATTTTCTCTTAGGCATCCTTTTCCCTGAGAAGCTTTTCCTGTTATCAAAGTGCAAATTAAATGTGTTTCTACCTGTGTCCATAGCATCTGTATGTTGTAATCATTAATGCATAAACAGTGCCCAGCACAGAGCTTGGTGCATGGAAGCGCTCAGCTGTTCACTGAAACCATGGAATGAGTATTAAGTGCTAAATTGTATGGTGTGGAAGTGCTACATAAAATTAGAGAATGGAGAAATGAGTAACGAAATGATTAGTGGAAGTATGGTTTTAGTGAGATCTTGTCTCAAAATAAAAAATGAATGTGACTCAGTGTGACGATTCTGCGTTCAATTCCAGTACTGCATGAAAGAAAAAGCAGAGGCTTAATCTGAACTTTTAATCTTTAGTGCTAAGCTCTTTCATGGAAGAACTTCAACATACTTGAGCTTTTATTTGCCTTCCTTATGTTTTCCTGTTCTTTTTACTGCAATTTGTTCACCTATCCAGCAAATAAATAAATGAACTTTGAAGGCCTAATATGTTTCAGGGATTATTCCACGGTCTGAAAATATAACCATGAAAAAAATCCCTGGCCTCATGGAATTTACTTTCTAATGGACTAAATGCATAAAATGGGCCAAGTACAAGTATAAAATACTATACCTAGTATACTTTAATTGATATATAGACACTGAAAGTAAAAAGACCAACCAAGATAGGATTGCCAGGTATGATAATGACAGCCACCTTGGAATGGGGTTGTGGCAGAGATGTTTCGATGAGGAGAGAAAACATCTTTTGTGGGCATTGTATGCATTTGGATTATTTTCTTCTATTTCAACAAGGTACTTGCTTAAGAAAATTTCCTAGATGATGGATTGTCTAGGTAGAGGAAAATTAAAGAGAAAGATTGTGAATTTAGAGCCGAGATAGATTGGAATCCAGGAAAATGGAAGCCATTGTTTTATTTGGCTGAAATCTGAGATTTCATCAGATTTAGGTTCCTTTTGTTACTGTTTATTAAGCACAGTGCCTGGACTGCAAAGATGCAGTAGAAAAGATGAGGTTTCTGATGTCACAGAGTTTATATTTTAGTGGATACTAGATGAGATGATAGAATTGCAGGTGAGTGGAAATCTTTTGTGACATGTGTGAACTGAATTCATGGGAATGGGTAGGTTTGGGTCTAGGTCTAGATAACAGATAATTCTCTAGTTTCTTTAAGTTTTATATCAGTGACTTGATATAATAATATAATGATTGTGGTCAGCTGCATAACAACTGTTCTCAAAGTAAAGAACTAAGAGAAAGCAGGGAATTACAGTGGATCTTTTAACCAGCTCTGTTCCTTTTCTGAGTACCGAATTTTAAAAAATATTTCTTTGTCTTTAAATTCTGCGCTGTCATTTTATTAAAGTTCAGTAACTTAATGTCTCCGACTGCTTATTACTTGGCAATATCACACTAGCTCATCGATGTCAGTGTAGGCTGGTCTCCAAGAAATGCATGAAAGAAACAGAGGCTAGTGATTTATGTGATTTTTAAACAGATTTGACTCAGAAGCGTCCTTCTGGGTTTCTAGAAGTGGTGGACAAAGGGAGATGGGCCCTGTGGGTTCTCCTGTTGTCTTTGTCTTTAGCCTGTCCCTAGTGGCCACGAACTGTGAGGTTAGTGTCTTGGCTTGGGGATGAGCATGGCTTGGCATGGATTCTTTTGTTGCCACCTCAAGCTGCTTTCTCATCCCAAGAACAGCACTCTCAGTGGGTGTGGAAGTAGGCGGGACATGAAGCAATGGTTTTACATCGCATCGCCTGGCTACAGCTTGGCATTTCTTTCTTTTTTCTTTTTCTTTGCGTCATTGCTTTGGTGCCACTAATTTTGCTCCCTCTTCCACTCTTTTATAAATGGTTTCTTAGGGAGTTATTCAGAATTAGATTTTCTTCGGGGTTGTGGCTGTGTTTTCAGGCAGTAACCTCAGAGGGGCTCTCCATTGGGTCTTACAGGGTTAAAGCTGGAGGAATGCATTAGAGATAAAGGGAGGAGGAAGTGAAGGAAGAGAGGGAGGGCAGAAAGGGGAAGAAAAAGTGGCTCTTAATGGACTTTGTACTTCTGCTTCTCCCTGGCTGTCTTTTCCTGTGGGATATACACTAAATGATTATCCACTAGTGCCCAATCTGTCAAAGGAGCGAAATAGAACATAATGCAGGAGGGAGGTAGGAGAGAATGGCAAGGTGATTGCACCAGTGATTTCAGAAATCAAAAGTCAGCCTACTTGATAGCAGAATAAAGGATTTTTGCCCTCTTAGGACAATGTGTGATTAAGGTTTTCATCATTACTTTGACCCCAGGCAAGGACACCTGTAATATTAGTTTCTTCTAAGCTCTGATCCTACTTACATCTCCTCTCCTAGTATGTT